CATTTGAAATATATGAGTTTGTATGTAATGTATGAATATAATATACAAGTTTCACTTTTTAAATGGAATTACTGAAATAAATCTACTTTTTCATGATATTCTAATTTTATGACCAGCACCTGTACATATCTCAGAAACATAGAACCCATCGTTGTTTTTAGAAGAATGAAACAGGGACAATACTCAACATGTTATGAAAAAAGCTCTTGTCAGCTATAGCGATTTATGACAGCAATAAAAACACAAAACATCAGGGATGAATACTTATTAAAAACACTATACATCCCTTTGGTTCTGCAACAGCAAGATGCAGATGAACTACAAAGGTGGTTTTGCATTTGAACTATGATCTGAAAGAAGCTGTAGTCTGCAATTTGAACTGAGGCAAAGAAGTGGCTTTACTCTAATCTTGACATTTTGGCATTAAATTCACAAATTAACCAAAGTGTGTTTTCCTCATTGCAGACATTTATACACTGATGCTGTACAAATGTATACTTGATGGGTTTCATTACACTAACTGTGCTTTGTTGTGAAGAAAATGGCTTATTGTCTAGAAAATGAGCTGCATGATTTAACTTTTGTTTTAAACATTTTATCTACACAGATCAGGTTGACAAATTATTAGAGCTAATTTGTCCCACTTCAACAACTATAGTAGCAAACCCCATTCAGGTTACAATTGTTTCAGTTTAACAGCAAAACATTTTAGCTGACATTGTATGAAAACGGTTACCTAATCACTTGACTGAAGAACTGCTTAACCAAACTGAAACTCCCTTACTTAGCGTTTTATGATGAGGAAGTTCAAGAATGGGAAACACAGTAGCTAAAGTATCCTACAAAACCATAGATAATATTTAGTTATCCTAGATTAAGAACCAAGTCTTACTATTACTAATCATAAAAATTAATTAGCTGTTTTAATGGAAAAAAAAAACAGATAATGTTTAAATGAATCAGTGATATTTCTGTAAGATTTTTGGGAATCCATCACCATTTAGGAGAGGGAATGTCAAAATTTATTATTCACAAACTTCATGCTTCTTGATTATTTATGCGTGGAAATAAAAGGAAAATAACAACTTCTGTGTTTAAACTAGAAAGAAAGAGTCATGTAAAATATTTTTAAATTACTGAAAGGAAAATGTCACAATCTTTCTAAAAAGATTTAAAAATATATCTCCAGACCCTTGGAGCATCAGTGCCATGATACTCTACAAACTGTGTTCTTGTTTTGTTGGGGATTGCGCAATAAGCAAAGTCTAAAGAAACCCTCAGCGGCTACAAAATCTGATTGGTTAATCAGGTTCACCTATCTAAAAATTGCACTCAGATCACCTGATCAGTTTTAACAGAGCAGGGTCTGTTCATTTCTCAGCGTGAAGATATAAGTGATTTAATCAACACCATGACGTTGTTTATATTCAGTGCAGCCGCAATTTCACACTGAGCTGCTGTCAGAACAAGTTGTTCATGGTTTGTAGTGATTTTTCTGAAAGGGAGCCATGCTCTAAAACAGCTTTCACATTTAGTTTGACCCAAACCTTTAAATAAAATTAAGTTTTTTGCCTTAAAAAAAGCTAACCAATTCAAAAACAAGTCTAAACAACAAGTATGGTTGCACTCATTTTAGTCTACTCAAAATTTAAATCTCTAACACACTATGGTAACCATTTCATTATGAAGAAAACAATTCACACAAAATTGCTGAAGTGTATTTATTGTTTGCTACACCTGGGTGCGTGCACATCCTCTGTTGTTAAACGACACACACTCCATTCTGAGATTAATTACCTGAAATGAAGCTTTAACATCACCGTGGGTCGATACAGCTGAACCTCTGAAGTATCGAGAAAGTCTGAAGTCTAACCTAAAAACGTCAATGTACCTCTGTTTTTGCCGTGACGCAAATGTAGGCTGAGTTAACTCTACTAATCGTGAGAATTACTAAAATATTCGCCAATAAATTTCAAACAACAAATGACAAACGTTCACGGTGTTACATCAACAGCATACACGGAAAAGACACACAGATGAAACATGTAAAACTGTACTGACCTGTGAGAGACTGTGGAAAATGGTAAATTACTGCTGGTTCTTGTAGGCGGTGAAGGCTAAAGCTAAAACCTATGAGTACACAGCCTAAACACGTCAAAATACTAGTTTTCTAGTCTGTCTGGGACACCACCGACACTTCCCTTTTCTCGCCAATCAACTTATTGACTCAGGCACGTGAAGTGACGTCATGTCGTTAAGCGTGCGTGTGCCTGCAGTAGGGCAGGCTGACATATCATAAAATAGATAGACTCTTCAAAGTGGTTTTCTTTAAAACCACAATCGCTGTCAACTTTTTTGTTTTTACTTAGAACTTTATGTATATATCGTCTTTGATAAAAATAAATTAATAAGTGCACATCATTGACAATAATTTGTAATAAAAGAGCGAAATCAGTAGAGTCGTGTTTTGTTGCCTACATTTACAAGTTGTCTGTTCACATTCAAACATCGACAAGTAGGCTTATATTTCAGGCAATCTTGGTGACATACGCTCACCGGCCACTTTATTAGGTACACCACGGTAGTAACGGGTTGGACCCCCTTTTGCCGTCAGAACTGCCTCAATTCTTCGTGGCATAGATTCAACAAGGTGCTGGAAGCATTCCTCAGAGATTTTGGTCCATATTGACATGATGGCATCACACAGTT